ACACACACACACACACACACACACACACCGCTTTACCCAATTAAATGTATTCCTTACAATTCAAGCTTGACCAGACTCAAACTTCTCTGCTAATCCAGGGGGCTCCTGGCTGACCTCTATATCTGGGATACAAGGGACTTTGTTTGCTATTTTGTTGAGGCTTTGTCGTGGCAGTCTACCCCAGATCCTCTCGAGTCTAGATCAGTTGATACCAATTCTTCGCGGTCATATTTGTTGAATCGGTCCCAGCCTACTTCATGGCTCTGTCAAAATGGCGTCTGGAACAGTTGATCGTGAAATGGAGCAGTTTATCCTGGCCGAGAAGGAGAAAGTCAGATTTCAGAGTCTGGTTCGCTCTTTAACTGATGAATGTTGGGAAAAATGTGTGGACAAGGTTGGGTCAAAGCTTGATTCCAAGACTGAGACTTGCCTTGTGAACTGCGTGGAGAGATTTTTGGACACCTCAAACTTTGTAGCCAATCGTCTGAGCCAGATGGGCGAAAGTTAGACAACGATAACCTTTCTTTAATCTTTGTTTGATAAGAATACGATGCTGAATGAGGAAAGTTAACGAGTTCCGCTTTTGAAAGTCTCTGTCGCGGTTTGAATTTCTGTTTTGTACTGGCCTTTAATTCATCGGTGAAGAAAAGTGAATGTTCCTCATATTCAAGCATGGATTGGATGAAGAAATCGGAACCTTTGCCTTACAGTTACAATACCCACCATGAATTAGGGCACTTTGCTATTAAAGTAGAATAATGTAGAAAATAGGCCCAATAATAAAATTTCCTATGCATTTCGTGAAGACGTCCTAGCTAGTTCTTAACTGCAAGTGCGCAAATGGTTATTTCACGACCAGGGCTCAGGGCTTCTTCGAGTTCCTTTTGGCTTGGTCACCTGGGCTGGCCTCTCTTAGGCTGAGCGTAGCTCAGAGTCAGTGGAAATGACCTAAAGCAGAGGCAAGGCGAGAGTCGTTTCTTTTTCTTCTTCTGGTCATCCTCACGTCTTTCTCCTACTAGTCCCCAGAAACGGCAAGATTTCCGAATAACTTCCTACTTCATCATGCACATACAGTACTTGGATAAAAGTTGCGAAACAGAAGGCTCCCTTTGGGACAACGTGTTTGTTTTAGAACGGAATGTGTTTATATACATATCTTGCCCCAGAACTGACGGCTTGTAAGTTGCAGGGTTCCAAGCCAATTTTTTCTTTAAAACATTTTGATCTTTTAATAAGCTGATTAGATAGGATATATATTTTTCTCTATGAACACTTGACTTGATCGCCATGTTAACCATTTTACCATCTTAACCATGTTAACCATTTTGGGAAGATTGATTGGTCTGATTTTTGAGCTGGATGAAGGGGATGAAATATTTAATTAATGAGCAGTAGATAAAAGATGTTCAACTTGTGTCTCACATTGACACATCAATTTGATCATTGAGGCATCAGTGTGATCACTGATGCATCAAGCAGATCATTGACCCATCAAGTAGATCAGAGAGGAAGAAGAAGAGGTGACAAATGGCTGTATCAAACTTTCTATCCAATCTGGAAATCAAGTTGGCATTTGAGAAGAGTCTTGGTGTCTAGTTTCAAAATTATGTTAAGTCATTCTTGAAGTCTCACTTTTCTGTCGAAGATTTCAAACTTTGGACTTTGTTCTTATAACCAAGTATCTGAGCCTAGCGATAACTTGAGTAGCTTAGATATTTTGCTGCGAATTACAGAAGATTGTGAATTGAAAATAGACAAGTGTGATGTAGCTGATGATCTACAAAGCAAATACAAAAGAGAGTATGGTAACTGTAACACAGCACTTGCTTGTGATTATGTGTAATATAGTATCTTGCAATCATTTGAGTGGGTGAGTCTTAGTCTTGCATTATCTACCAGGCCAAGAGTTTCAGTAGCTTGCAAGTCTTTTATTTAACCATTTCCCACTGTGAAAGTAAAGGTAAAGAACCAACCAATCCACATCCAATGTGCAAGGTAATCAACAAAGGTGAAATTTTGTCACCATCAACATACACTGACAGAAAATTGAAGCGATGACTGTTAATGCCTCTCACATAACCATTTATAACTTGCAAGTGGGATGAATTTTAGCCACCAGGAAAGGAGGTTTACCAAGAAAAAAATTAGAAGTTTTTCAAGAACCCTCTAAGATTTGCCATCTTGCCTAGCTCCCGATGTATGGTTTTGTAGTTCGTGGTAGTAGTGCCCAGTAAGTGTTTGGAAGGCACACGTTTGAATGAGCGTAAAGCAATAGGTTACTCGTCAAATTATTGGTATGACTGAACTAATCATGGACAAAGGCTGATAGTTTCTGAAGAAACTGTTTGGGGCTGCATCGGTGGGGGTTACAAAATAATTTGAATATATCAACAAAGTTGAAATGGTAAATTGGCCACCGTTACGATTATAAAAGCTGACGTTTCGAAACGTCAGCTTTTATAATCGTAACGGTGGCCAATTTACCATTCAACTTTATTGATATATTCTAATCATGGACAACGTACAGGGCATTAATTTTGTGAATCCGCACATGGTTCAATGTATTTAGTACCTTCCCTAAGGTAAAGAATAAATCGGGCATGTAAACATGAGGTGCCATAATCGGGATCTCATTTTGCACCCTAATTTATCTCATCTATACCAACTCCCTGACCTACACCCAGTTACATCAGCAAGAAAGAACCTTGCAAATGGCATTGCCATATTACTGAGAAGCCAATTGCCCACAATGTAAAAAGTAAGAGTTTGAGTGAGTGTCATAAATATAAATGAATGAAGTGTGAAGGTGTAGTCTGATCGTCCTTGTGAGTGTAGTCCTGAGAAGGACTGTTGTCGGTGGTAGTGACTGACGTTTCGACAACCTGTGCGGAAGTCACCATCAGAGTCAAGTGAATGATTGTTGTCAGTAGAATGTTCTTATTCCAGTTCGT